TTTCGGTAAAATGATTGCCGGTAAAGTGAGCAGCATCGTTCGGGAACTTCAATTTTTTCTCGACCTTGCTTGTAATTGTTGATTGATTTTCTATTCGAAGCATAACCTGTTATGCGTTGTCGGCTATATTATGCAGTTTATGCGGTTTTACGCGATTTGCATAAAATCATCGTCCCTGTTGAGCTTAAAGCCGACATTCGTATGATTGGTTGATTTTTGTAGATCTACCCGTGATTTTCCGTGATAATTAACCAATCAAATTGCATAATTTTTAAAATTTATCGTTTAATACTACTAATAGAAAATTAAAAAACTTCGTATAAAGAAGATTATAAAGCTTACAAACTAATACATGCAAATGAAATTATCACATGTTTTAGAGAATAGATAGATACGCGTAAAGTTGAGTAAATGCAATATTTTATTGTTAATAAACCTAAACCCATTAAAGAATCTACGATACAGTATATTTTAATTTATGGTTAACAACCCCAGCCAAGCGACTAAATTTAAACATCTTCTACTGCTAAAGAGCTTGTACCTTTCGAATTGAATGTTTAACAATAAGAAAGTTATTTAAATCTTACGAAACAAAGTAATTTTAGACGAAAATACTTCCAGTTACCCTCATTGCAGAGTACAATTTCACACGGTCCAATAAACGGTAATATATTTTGTCTTCTAAGCAAAGTCCACGAGGAGAAAGATCTTTTTGAGATTCTTTTGTATACGTAGTGAATATTCAAAGCTAGAAATGGTTTTTGTGGCGATTTTTAGTGAAACGTTCAGTTCTAAAAAGTACTTTAAAACATATAAATAAGTTACCCGGGCAATTGATTTACATCACCCAATCAAACGAATGTGTTAATTCGGGCTGATCGACTACATTATCGTTATAAGAAAATCATTTTGTCGATCGGTCTGTTACACATTTCGGCTTGCCCATTAAATTTAATTTATAAGGGGGTTTTTTTTTTATCTGCACATAAATGAGGCTTCCCTTTTTAACGCATTGTAAAGTGATTACTTTAAAAGCATTTTGTTTAACCAACAAAACAAAGAGTCATTACCTAAATAGAGAATTAAATAAATTTTCAATTACAATTCGCCATAAATCTCGTCTTTCTTATAGTAAATACTTACTGAAACGATCAAAACGTATTGCTAAAATGGCCGATGACCCCTTAGTTTGGATTGATTGTGAAGTAAGTTTATTAATGATAATTACAGTTAAAAGGTTGATGAATGATATAAACTTTGTTTTTTTTTTAATCTGTTATGTTTAATTTGTACAATAGATGACTGGACTTGATGTAGAAAATGATCATATTATTGAAATTGCTGTCTTGATAACCGATGGGAAATTGAATATTTTAGCCGAGGTTTATATTTGCTACTAACTTAACATTACTTTTGTTTCATTCATCTCAATCAATATATATATAATCATTGCGTCATTTTTATTACATTCAAAGGGACCAGTTCTTGTTATTAATCAATCGCAAGAAACGATGGATAAAATGAATGATTGGTGCAAACAACATCACGGTGATGTTAGTATCATTTTATTAACTTATTTTTAAAGCTCTATTTATTTGATAAAAAATATGGAATATCAATTTTAATAACACAAGGTTCAATATACATTCTTATCCAACAGTCAGGATTAACTGCAAAAGTTTTATCATCCACGATCACCACATCAGATGCATCCGCTCAGATTCTGGAATTCTTAAAAAAACATATTCCCAAAAAAGGAATCTCCCCTTTAGCAGGGAATAGTGTTTATGCGGATAAAATGTTTTTAAAAAAGGAAATGCCTGAAGTGGTTGGTTGGTTACATTATAGAATCATTGATGTTAGTAGTATTAAAGAATTATGTAGAAGATGGTATCCTAATATTTTTGAAACCGTACCGAAAAAAAACTCTAGTCATAGAGCATTGGATGATATCAAGGAAAGTATTGATGAGTTAAAATTTTATAAAAAACATATCTTCATTGATGAAAGTATTATTAACTCAGCAGCAAATAAGAAAAGAAAAGATGGATATGGATCAGAATAAATTTAACGATATGATGAATATAATGATAATCATTATCTTTTTTAAAAAAAATAAAGCATTATCCACTTAGTAACGATATTATCTGAAAATAATTTTCTTGGATAAATACATGCCAAAGTTTGAATACTGTACACCTTCACACGATATGATGCTATCGCTTTGATCTATTCCACGAGATAAATTTTTATGATACAAAGTTTTTACGTAGTGAGAGATCTATATTTCATAAATCGATCCACAGTATGCTCAACGTCGAATGCATACTCTCGAAAAAATTGCTTGAGAACTTAACTCTAAACACTACATTATTAAACTACAAAACCACATATATATGGTTGTTAATGTACCTTTAATATTTAATATCAATAATATTATTAAAATTTATGATCAAAATATAAAAAACTTGACTTCGTTCATAAATCCAAAATACTTACTTTAGTCCAACAAAATATTTCTTATAAACTTCTCATGAGAGATATTGCCAGAGTTAGCAGAAGCGACGGACGGGGCTTGATATACGCGACAAGTGAAAATATAAATTTAAGATCTGGAAAACTAAGTATCGTTTTGACTAAGTGCATCTGCAATCGCGTTTACTTATTCAGGATTAATTCGATTAATTGAAATACTTAAGTTATAAGATATGAATGAATAAAAAGAAATATAACAAAACAAAATATTATTTAGCAGACTTTGAGCAAGATATGTAAAGAATTTGCTATGTAGTATTCAGTCAATAAGTAAAGGTATAGAAAATTAATTTTCTATAACAGTTTCTAATAGAAGTTTGCCATTAATTTTGAGTAATTTAGATGGTACCGATCAACTAAAATTTCTCCATACTGTTCGTCCCTAATAAGTCCTGTCTAAATTACTCAAAAAATTAATACAAAAATCGATAAACTTTTATTAGAAAATGTTACAACATTACCTTATTGGACGAATACTGTTAAAATGACCTAATTGTAGATATGTTTATCATAATATTTAGACCAATCAAACTGCCATGATGCCACCTATGATATAATACACATTTAAAATCTAGCTCTAGTCAGAGTTTATAAAAGAAAATGATATTTTGGGCAATTTAGATATCATACTGATTTTTCATCGTGGTAATGTTTACAAAGACAGAGGTATTAGCAAAAGTATGTTGTCTTATATCTTAGATCTAAGGTTATCCAATAATATAAATGAAATTAACTCAGAGATTAATATTTATAAAGTTACGCCGGAGAATTGCAATAAGAAATTAATATACTAACTAATATACTTATTATGCTACGTTACTGTAACAACGTTCACTATAGATTTTGTCGACAATTAGTAGCGAAGTTATGGATAAAAAGCTAATACTTCATCTGGGTCTAAAAAAATATGACATACAGATTATTAAAGTTATTGATCGCATCTTGATATGATTAATCACACCTTGAGGTGTTTACCTCTCGATCATATATACATTATCACCTCTCAACCTATTCTGCATTTCACCTCTCAACCTATTCTGCATTCTCTGTAACAAGTACGCAAGCGTTTTTGAAGTGTTGTCAGAGAGCATTAGCTAATTAATTGTCGGTAAACAAATTACCAGCGAAATAATCGTCACTATGCTAATGCTAGGTCAATCCGTGGCATTGCGTGTCCGTTATTGGCATGATTTATTACAGTATCGCTATATTTATAGAAGTCTATCATGAATTAAAATTATTGTTACGACAATATAGTCAATTATCAACATAGAATTCGATTTCATTCGTGACCTCTTCACAAACATCATTCTCTCCACAGTTCTGATTGGATATCAGAAATCTCATCAACTATTGACTAAAATTGGTTGAGTCAATAGAAACAAAGCAAATATTTTTTAATAAGTTTTTTAAAAAATAAAAACTTAATTAAATTTAGTTTATAAAAAATTAAGGAAAAAATAAAATATTGTTCAGCACGAGTTTTTACATGTAAACGCACTATCTAAAAATTTTTTTTATTGATATTATATGAAAATAAAAAAAATAACACCAAAAATATGATCTACAATTAACCAATCACTATCGAGATGCGAGACAATGTAGATCACGGGATGTGAGACACACATTTTTCATAAGAAAAAATTAGATAATCAAAAAATACTTTATCTTGTAATTTACTAAGCAGATTTTAATGATTCAACTATTATTAGAGTCAAAAAATTAGCTCTACAAGTTAAATTAGAAGTTGAAAAAGATGTACTCAGTAAAAAGTAACTTTATATATAAGAAAGCTCTGTTTATATTATAAAAGCTACTGTATATTAAATCAAATTTTGTTTATTATAAGATTTGCTATTTTTTTATCCTTAAAAATCCTAGAAATAAACTATCTCTTAAATATTATTATTTACATTACAAACAATAAATTCATGTCCATTGGGTGGGATCTAAAAAAAAATAAAGATTAATATTTATACAAGCAGAAAATTAATAGGTGATTATACAATACAATTATTAATTTTATAGTGGTTTACAACTTACGTGCTAAGTTGTGGTTTTTGTGTATACTTTTGCGCAAGAATATCCCTGATACTATTCAAAAGCTGTTGGTATGTTTGGTAGTTGTTGTCTCTTAATCTATTAAATAAAAGAATTAAAATCTATAATTAATAACAATTCCAAACAATATATCAAACTATCAAGTAACACTAACGCTTTAATAAATGCGTATGACATGGCACCCGTGTTTTGCCCGGCTTCATTAGCATCTGCAGATGTCTGAGCGTCCTTGCACCTAATTTCATATTGGTGATGAGATTAAGTTTAAAAATTGAATAAATATTGAAATATAGAATAAAATATTTCTACACTTACCCACTAAACATAATAACATCTGCCTGACTTGATTTGTTCACCCTATTTTGTTCTGCTATCTTGTTTCCGGACATCGCCTTCTTTCCAAATGACATTATGCTCGTTTTTATACCATTTAAATCGCCACGTAAATACGACATACCAGCATTCATAATAGTACTTCCTCCTTCAGAAACAATATTATACTCTTTAACTACACCATGTGTGGAATATATGTATGGCAAATCAAGCGCAGTCCCTGAGTGGCACGAATCAAAAATAGCAGTTAATCTTACACCTATATTGTTTTAAAAAATATATATATATAAAAAAACAAATGAGCGATAAATTGAAATTGAAGATAGTTGTTAGGCGAAAGAGTTTCGCCAAAAAAGGTTTAGAAAGGCGCAAATGGTGAAACTGGTGAAATATGACGAAATGTGGCGAAGCCGGCAAAACTAAAAATTGACGAAATCAATGAAACTGAAGTTGTAAAGACTAGTAAATGAAAGTTAAAGGTAAACTTACCAATCTAAAATAGATGTTAAATATTAAATATACTATTTATTTAATTTATAAATAAAATTACTTCTTTCTATGCCAAATTCCTATATTCAAAATTAGATGCCTTTGCTCCTTTCGCTTCTATAAATAGTAGCAGTTATTTGAAAATAAACTGGTTGAAGCAGTTATATTATTCTGTAACTAGTTATAACATAAGCGTAATTCTTTCACATCTCTAACATCAGTTCTTTCGATTATGATACTCAAATTATTCGCAACATTGTTTATGCTTTAAAAAAGATTTATTTTTTAGTTTAGTTCTTATCAAGGCATTATTTCCTTTAGAAAGTTTTCTGATTCCTAAACGACCGACTATTTTTCGCAATACTCGAATGTTTCGTTTGGTAATCAGTTAGTAGAAAGCACCAAATCTTTTTTAATAAATTTTTTTTTGAACCTTTACATAAAATAGCTCAACAATGCATAATCAGATTTAGTAAAAATCCACAAGTTTATAAAATTGATTTAAAAAAAATATTAAATTTGATTAAGTTATTGTTATTTTTTTTTCAAGTTTAAAAAAATTTAATTAGAAAAAATTTGGTGCGTTTCTATTGGCTCACCTCTTATAATCAACAATAAGAACGATAAGCAAAAAAAATAATAATTCCGCCTTTACCGATAGTCATTTCGCCGAGAGCCATTTAACCGACATCATATCAAGTGAAAAATTACTAACAGCATATACCTGCAACTAATCAAACACCACCCCTAACCCATGTGAAGTCGGTTAAATAAGCTGTCAGTGAAGTGAACCGCATCAAAAAAAAATATGGTAAAGCCATATTTTAAAAATTCAGTGTCATCTTACAAGAAGCTTAGCATAAGTTATGACACATAAAATACCTGTCCGATGATCTCTTAGCCAGTGTGCAATTCCCCAAACGTAACTTCAAATTGACGCGTGGTGATAGAAATTAGCCAATAGTTAGTCATAATTTTATGTAACAATTAGGAAAATCCAAGAGGAAAATCCAAAACAAACGTTCGTTTTGAAAAATATTAAATTATTTTTCAAAAAAACCGCCTTTCACGCGCCAAAAAAGTTTTCCTTAAGTATTTTACTGGATAACTATCTAACCTCTATCTTATTCTAAACACTACCTAATGTGAAGCATTTTCTGTCATCAAGCGCCTTTTTTTTTTTATAGTTACGCTGGGGAAATTGTCAGAATGCGCCAAATCCATAGCTTATCGTTAATATCGATATTTGACATAATATACAGTATATACTTGATATAAATCTGCATATTTAAAGGAAAAATTTTTATCGTTATTTGTATGGCATGGAGACCACGGGACAAACACTTTTTGTGAGATAACTCCGCATATTTTCATTAGGCTTCGCCGGGGTCTTGTTTCGCCAGAATTTCGTCTTTCGCCGTTTTAGAAATAGATTTCACCTAACATCTATAATTTTGAATAAAAAGCCAAATAGAAAAGGTTTTTACCGGGAAAAAGTGGCTTCACCATTATATCATGCATTTCCTAAAATAATTATGATATTAGCTTTGATAATGATATTGACATATTTCCTGATTACAGAAAAAAAAAAAACTCACATCATCAATTATTTGACCATTTTTTTCAAAATCAAGTGGTAAAATAGTTTCATCATATCCATCATCCTCGTCGCCGTCAAGATCTTCTACTTGACCACCATGTCCACTATAGTGAAAGAAAAGCCTAATAATAAAAAAAGTTAAAAACAAGCAGGAAATGATGCAATATACATATATATATATGAATTGGTGAAGATAACACACGAATCGTTCGGTCTGGCATCTTGTACAAGCCATCGCATTGCTGCTATAATATTTCCCCTATAAGGGATCCTTGTCTGATCTCTCTGATCGTCCGTTAATATCAACATATCGGCTTCTTTGAATCCATATAATTCAATCAAAAACTTTTTTACATTGTGAACGTCATTAATACAACCTGTTCAAAAATAAGATAAATTTAAATTTTCGAGATAACTATATGTGAACAATTCTAAGCGAAATTACCTCTTAACTCGTTTTTAGTATTGAAATAATTAATTCCAATCAACAGTGCTTTTTTATGTCCAGTACAATTTGATAATACATAATTTGTAGGGGGAGGTAGATTTGGATTTTGATACATCACATAGCCTTGAGCTGGATATTGTTGAGGTGCACCAGGTGATTGTTGATACGGAGGGGGCTGTTGATATGGTGGTTGCTGATATGGCGGTGGTTGCGAAGGTGAATTATAGTATTGATTTGGAGGAAGTTGTGAAGGTGGATTGTATCGTTGATCTGGAAGTGGTTGTGAAGGTGGATTGTATCGTTGATCTGGAGGTGGTTGTGAAGGTGGACTGTAGTATTGCGGTGGAGGTGGATCCCATTGTGAAATTCCGGTTGCTTGATCTATTAATATTGCAGGTTATTAAGGCACCAAGTCTCACTTTCAGTCCTGTTATTAGAAATTCAAACTACTTACTGACAAAATAATATTTTTGACTAGCATGATCATACAGAGATATCCATCCTGGTGGCAAAGGTCGAAGTGCTGGTTGTTGAGGTGGAGGTGCTTGAGAACCTGGATAGCCTGAATTACTTGGTTTTTTACCGTATTGCTGTTCGTATTTTCGTCCAGGATACATGTTTAATTTAGCAATAGGTTCAGATTCGCATGACTCGTTTTTAAGTTTTCTTATTTATCGTTACACGTACCCAGGGACCCGGAAAAATTTGGAAATAAATTTTCCAAATTTTTGGCCTTAATTTTGGTATTTCCAAATTTTCGTGGTTTAGCCAAATTTTTCCAAATTTTTTGGCGATTTTT